TGTAGCAAATCTTAAGATGGCGTATTCCGAGTAGTACTCCCCCTCTTGTTCGAGTCGGAGACGTATTAGGCAACCAAGTATGGCGTCTATATATACAGACGCCATGGATTAGCTCATGCATTCAACTCCTCAGCGCTTGAACGCAACAACCAGAGAGAGAGAGAGAGAGAGAGAAGAGGGCGGAGCACTCGGCGGTTTCAGCACGAACATGAGCGCGAGCACCTCCACTGCTTCCACCGGCAGGCAGCGCCATCCACCATGCAGCACGACGCGGTGCCCGTGCGTGCACTTGGCGCTGCGGAGGGCGCGCGTTCGAGCCGATGACCCCGTTTGCGTGTTGCAGAAGCGGGTCGCCTACAGCGACAAGGACAAGGTGCAGCATCGCCTCCTCCTGCCCAGGGATCAGCTCGACTGGCTCGTGCTGGAGCAACGCATGACCGCGGCGGAGAAGGCGCAGACGACAGACGGGGCCGGGTTGCCGGTCAAGGTTTTCGGTCGGTTTGGGAGGGAGTACAACCTCATCCTCAAGTACGTCACCTCCATCAAGGCCTACCGCATCATGGGACCCGAGTACATGTGGCTGGTGAAGGACAACGGGTTTCTGACCGGCCAGTTTCTCCATCTCTGGGTGTTCCGAGCCCAGAACGCCGACGGAGCATCGACGAGCGCCAACCCCGGCGGGCTTAGGATGGCCATCATAAACCACTCAAAGGCTGAACAGGACGAGACGGTAGAGATGGACGCCGATCCTGAAGTGGTGTTGGCAGCAGAAACGCTGATGTGGATGAGCGAGAGGCCCAGCCATTCTTCTTAGTCGACTTGTGGTTGTTGAATTGGAAGTTTCCAAACCGAGTTTTATTTTCTGTTCATGATAGTTTACGGTCATAATTGTAATTGAATTGGAAGTTTCCACACTGAGTTTTATTTTCTGTTCATTATAGTTTACAGTCATAATTGTAATTGAATTGGAAGTTTCCACACTGAGTTTTATTTTCTGTTCATTATAGTTTACAGTCATAATTGTAATAAATAAATAAATAAATAAAGGTCTATATTTTGTTTTCTTTAATCTCTTTAAGCAGACAATTAAATTCAATTAATTACACCTTCCATTACGTAATAAAATAAAATAAAGCTAGCCAATAAATTCTCGTAATAATAATATATTCTTGAAAGTCCAGATTAAAATTACAAAAGAATCCAACTCAAAGACATCATCTATGATAGATTTTGTTTCCTGAAGCGTAGGAAATCTAAAGATTGAGATATCATTATATACCGAGTTGATTTGGTTACAACTCGTACATTGGCATTAGAATCGAATTAGGATACCGAGTTGAGGTCGAGTCGCATTAGGAAACAAGGCGAGTATATATATATATATATATATATATATATATATATATGTTGAGGAGAAAGCTCAAGGTAACTCGTTCTTATTCGTGCTAGCTTTGATTCCACCGATTTCATCGTGTTCCTCCCTCCCTTAATTAATTTAGTGTGCATAATAAGTTTTAGATAGCCTCCATGAGGAGAATCATGGGCGTCTAGAAAAGAAAAAGAGAGGGGGAAGGGAGCAAGAAAAGGGAGGAAAACAAGAAAATAAGAGTTAGCAAAGGCGAAGGGGACGAAGAGAAGTTGTTAACGGAGAAGGGGATCAAGAGAATCGTGTGGAAGCTGAAGGGTAAATCGCACGGCGTCACGAGGATGGATGGTGCGGGGTGTTGGGCTGACAGTCCACATATTGAGCCCATTGCGGGTTTTAACAGCGCACAACCCATCCCATTTGACCTAACAAAATTAGGGGGTATGATGGTTGTGTTTTTGGAGCAGAAAAAAAGGCAGTACCAAGTGGAAAAATTGCAACAGCAATTTGATTCAAAAAGGAGGAGAAAAAGATAGAAAAATAAGAAAAATAAATGGAAGAAAATAATGACAACTCAGAGAGACTATTCTCTTGGGGTGAATTTAGATGTTATGCACAGTGACATGATCCTTATATCTCAGTTATTCTTTTGTGATTGTTGTTAGGGTTTTGAGTAAAAGATTGAGATTTGTATATTCATTATTCTTATAGTGGATTATCTCTAGTTTATCCCGTGATTTTTATCCTTCATATTAGAGAGGTTTTTAAGTTGATCCCTGGGCGGAGGAGGTGATGCTGCACCTTGTCCTTACGGTGTAGGCGACCAGCTTCTGCAACACGCAAACGAGGTCATCGGCTCGAACGCGCGCCCTCCGCAACGCCAAGTGCACGCACCGGCACCGCGTCATGCTGCATGGTGGATGGCGCTGCCTAGTAGAAGCAGTGGAGGTGCTCGCGCTCATGTTCGTGCTGAAACCGCCGTGCTCCGCCTTCTTCTCTCTCTCTCTCGTCTGGTTGTTGCGTTCAAGCGCAGTGAGGAGTTGAATGCATGAGCTAATCCTTAGCGTCAATATATATAGACGCCATACTTGGTTGCCTAATACGTCTCCGAATCGAACAAGAGGGGGATTATTACTCGGAATACGCCACCTTAAGATTTGCTACGACATGTAAAGAAATAATTCCAACCTATTACTTGAGATAGGCGCATCGGATATCAAACACCAATTACTCGAGACAACAACCCCGTTTGCGTTCAGCAGAGGAGACTAACCCGTAGTGATGTTGACAGAAAGTAGCATCGGCTCCTCCTTCCCAAGGATCAACTCAAACTCCAAGGCACCATGACCACCGCGGAGATGTGGACGACGGAAAAAAGGCCGCCTGCCGATCATGATTCTGGACTGGGTGTGGAGGGAGTACAACCTCATTCTCGAGTTCATCGCGTCCATCAGCACCTATGGCTTCATGGGAGCCGTTTTTACTACAGACGGACGAGAACCAGTTTCCGACAGGCCACTTTGATGACCTCGAGTGTACCATACTGTCACGGACAAACTTTGAAATAGGGTATTTGATATAATGCTTATATCTGTCCGTGTCTGTTGGCATGTTCATGCCTTGTACAGTGTGTAGAGGGGCAGCCGAAGGCTTGTAAGTCTCATTTTAGTTGGGTTGGTGGCCTCTTTAGGCTTGTAAATAAAGGTTGTGTCATGTGGACACGTGAGAGAGCTTTTCGGTCTATAATGGACCATTTTACCCTTTGTTGTGCCACTGTTCAGAGCTTGTAAAGTCTGTTTGTAATTTGCATTGTCTATGAAGTGTTTTTCGGACATGTTTGCTTGTGGATCCCGTTTGAGGCATTCTCTCTAACCCGTTCTCTCTTTTGGTGGTCCTAAGGGACAATGGGAGGCTTCGGGGAGGCTGACCTTTGCGGACGGACACGCAAAGGTGCCGCACGGCTTAGGCAAAACCAGCTAAGTCCGTGTCATTTGGTATCAGAGCGGGACAAGCACTCATAGAAACACTTGACATGCAAACGTGGGGGACCTAGCAGGGCTGCATTGAGGGCAGTCAGCACACGCGCGACCGTTTGAGGGAAAATGGGCATGGAGATGTAGGGAAAAGAGTCGCTCAGAGGAGCGGGCATCTGAGATTGGCATTCAGAGGAATGGCCAACCCTTCGCGCAAGAGGCACCACGAGAACAGGCAAGCTTGGAAGAATTTGGAGCA